TAGTACAAGGTCAAAGGTTCCCTATGTAAGTGAACTGCTTTAAAGACTTAGTGACCATGGCATATTTGAACCAATATCGATCGGGACATCTTGGTAGATGTAGGTAGGTAAGTGAATATGGGAACAGAGTGATTAAATAGGAAACCTACAAGCAGGTTCCAGGTATGGCAACTAGTGTAGAACCTTCAGGCAGACTATTTAAATTATACAATGACTAAAGTTGTACAAGTGGCTAGTTGTACACTCTTTTCATGGTTGCCCTCTGTGGTTGTAAAGCAACTATTAGCTGAATGTACTATCAATAAAATCCTGAGTCGCAAGTACTCATCTTAATATTTAAAAAAAAAGACAAAAGTTCTATATTCTGTATTTCTTATTATATCTTTTCTTATTTCAATATATTAATTTCTTTGTTTGTTTGGTTTTTTAAAATATAATATTATAGATAAAAGCCTTTTTAATTTTCATATTATAATGATAACACAGTACAAAGAATTTCTTATAGATATATATAATGTTCAAGAGAGAAGTATAGTTTTTGTTAAACATTATTAAAAAACTATACTCTTTTCTGAATTAGTTTAGAAAAGGTAATACAATACTAATAACTTTACTTTATTTATTAAGAAAAAAATAAACCTTGCCTATAAGAATTACTCTAAAGAGGAAGTATCAATACAATTTATAATTAAAAGTTATTTATTAAAGTAATTACAAGAAATGTTATTTTTAGTTTCTATTTTTAAAAAATTCTAAGATGTATTTATAATATTAAAAAGAAAAGGAATATCTGTTGCTTAATAGAATTTGAGAAATTTAGCAGGGTTTATATATTTGTAAGCTAGATAGTTAAGCAGCTAAGTAACTAAGTAATTAAATAACTAAGTAGCTAAGCTACTAAATATTAAATAACTAAATGACTAAACAACTAAATAACTAAGTAATTACTAAATAACTAGAAAGTTCTAGTAAATATTACTAATAATAATATAATAATAATAACTAATATTAAATAATATTTTTTTTAATTAAATTGGCTTTTTTTGAAACAAGACTATTTATTCAATAATTAGATTATAGAAATTTATGATCAAGGCCTCAAAAAAGTCACTTTATATTAGAGAATACAACTAGTTATGCATATATTTTTAGTGTCTAATTTAAGTAGTTTATTAATAATTTTATACTAACTGCTATATCTGCAACTCAACTAAGGACATTGTCTATATAAACTCTTTGTACTGCAATCTCTACTATATTACTAAATTATCTCTGATATATATTAGTTAAAAAGGTTTAGATGCCTACCTATACTCTTAGAACATTATACTTTATTGTATATAGTATATTTTTAGAAGCATTATTACTAGAGCTTTCTGTGTTTTATATATAGCTAATTTAGTTTTATATAATATACTATAGTTACCTAATACTTGTAATTAAAGTTAATTTAAACTACTATGTTATACTATTTTTATTTTTATAAAATTTATCCAAATCTTAGTATCTATTTTTTCAACATCTTTTCTATTATTTTCTACTAATTATAATTCAGAACTAATAAACTTTTCAGATTTCTAATTTAAATAACCTAATATGATATATCTTAGTATTTTTTTCTTTAATGATTTTAATAGTTTGATTGATAATATGTTTCTTTATACATCTTGTTATCTAATTTGTCTACTTATTCTTATGAAGATATTTTATAGGTTTTTATTAACCAATAGTATTATCAAAAGTTTGTATTACTTTTTACTCAAAATTTTCTAAGTAAAATTCTGTTTCCTTAGTTCTTTAGTTTTTTGCACCTAATAGTCTTATTATAGATTTGCACTAAAGTTTTATACAATACTAATTATTAATATTTCTCTATATATATACAATGCTACACTTTGCATAAATGCTTTGAGCTTTTAATAATAAGTAAAACCTGACTTGATATATCTAAATTACAGCTGCATGAGACCAACTAATCAACAGAAAACAATTTCTGTAACACAGGTTAATTTTTAAATTTTATCATAAATGGGATTTGAACTTTAGACCTGCCTTTAATGCATTGTTTTATACTTTTCTGCCTTATACTATTTATTATATTTAAACTAAACTCTTAATTTTGTCAAATTTTTCTTTAATTAATATTTATTCTTTTTTTCATTTTGTTTTAACTAAACAATTTTTTTGATTTTTTTTATAATTTTTTTGTTATTACCTTTATCATCTTTTCTAAGACCTCTTTAATACTATATACTGCAAATCTAACATTACATACTTTTAAACTTTAATGTTTTTCTTATTAATTTCTAATTTTCTTTTTTTTTTTTTTTACACATTATATTGTCCATTTCACTACTCAACTTTTTCTCTTATATGTTTCTATAATAATTGCTATTTTCAATAACTTTTTTTTTTTAACCTTACTAATCATCTTCATTGCCAACCTTTCTACTAATTTCTCTGTTTTTGCCAAACTTTCACCTTTATATAACATTTTCAACATTTTTATTAACAACCTATCCAAACCACATTTCAAACTCTGCTAAAATACTTTTTCTGTACTATTCGCCAAAATACTATCTGACAATAACATCATTAGGTATATCTCTTGTACATCGCCATCATTCTCTATATCGTCTTTTCTATTCCCTTTACCACGTGATCTATCAACAAAGCTAGACTTGCGTCGAGCAAACAGCAAACAATTTTCCACCTGTACTCCACTTAAATAGGCATTTTCTATGTCCTCATACCATTACTCAATTAAACTACCTACACTTTCTTATTACAAATAATGACCTCATCACTTAATCAATCACTCTCTTACTCACAATTACTATCGTCATAGGTGAGTGACGTGATCTTGTGACAAATGCTGCCCCGTGACTTCGTTCAATAGTAAATTAATTTGATTGGATGTTCATTAGTAATTAGTATATTTTAAAAAATATATACGTATTAGCAGGCCAAATCGTGTGGCTTAGAACATTGCATCAGGTGACTGGCGGATCTAAATTTTAGAATCATACAAAAAAGCTGAAAATAAGCTTTATCTCTAAAAGATCATCAATTAAGTATTTATCAAGAAATATTGAATTAAAGTTTTAAATTTTAAAAGGATTTTTATGGTCGACCATCCTCCCCGAACGTATTCCGACCCAGATCCTTTTGTATGAATCATTATAACAAAAAAAAAATCATCATGAATCAAGCTAGTAATTAGATTTAAATCAAGCAACTGATTTGTACCAGATTTACTATCTTTCGACCTGTGTATATAATCCGGATCAAATTGTAATAACTTATGAGATCATAGGCAAAGTTCGTCTCAAATGCCAACACTGACTACCTCATATGCAAATTGTTACCCACAATGTTAAAAGTTTGATCTCTACAGAGTGCATTTAGAGAGATTTTTCTGCATTTAAATTCTGGTCAACTTGTTATTTGTAGGTATTTGAGAATCGTTCTAATGTTGGCCTCATGATCAGGGTGCAACGTGAAAAAATCCCCAAAAAATCCAAAAATAGTCATAATTCGAAAAATCTTTCCTATGAAACTACCTTCTACAGACTTAACAAAAGTTTTTCCTTTCGAAATTTTGGTATTACTATGCCCCTTAAAACCAATAGCAAAAAAGTTTGCTTAGCGAAATGTTTAAATTGGTAACGCTGTAATGTAAAAAAAAAATCGGGCATTTATTACCTGTGTCAATGTGATCTGACAGATTAGTAACACACGTTTGGAATCAGATCCAGTTAAGGAGAAGCCGCTTCCAGTAAAATAATAAAACCAGAATAGAACAAGCAGATCCTCCTTCTATTAGAACTAGCTAGTTCTGATCTAGTTGGTCATTGATATTGACATAAGTGGAGTTGTCTAAATTAAATAGCAAATTGGCTGCTTGATCTATCTGTGATGTATGTCCCTAATCATAATGCGCGTTATAAAATTACGGATTTACTACCGAGTGGTTTAAACCTTTTTCTTTTATATATTCTTATTATTATTATTTTTTAAAGAAAAAAAAAATATCAAATCGATACTTCTCAGAGAATACTATATGTTAAGACAATAAATATTAATTTATTGGAATTGCCAGATTTAAAATTTTCGAAAGTAACATTAACTTATAAACACGGATTTTTATACAAAATTTTGTGTATTATAGTTCAGTGATCAAAATAAAGAAATTTATTATATTTATCGTTATAACTCATTCGATTTGTACAAATTACTTATTTTAATTATAAATGTTATCGGATCAAGCCGACAACCACCCTAATTCAGGTCATTGAATCACTTAATTTGTTGGTTTGTTAAAAATATTCACTTTAAATCTAATTTTATTTAAGAGTATCATTATATTTTAGTTGCAATAGAGTATATACTTTTTTTTCACTCGGGGAGTCCCAGGATGCCGGTGGTATGCTTTGAGTATTTACATTTTAAAAACAATATATATATATATATCTAGAAATTATAAAAATGTTTAAATAGTTATTATAACGAATTTTATCCTTGCATTTGCATTATATGACTATTTTTTTTTAAATGTCATAGTCTAATAACAATAAATTTGAACAAAGGACTTTATTTTTGATATTGCCAAACCTTCACGAATAGATTCATAATACTGATAAGCGAGAAGACATCAAAATTTTGGTAATCAAAAATTGTAGATTTACATTTTGGTATTTATTATATATCAAGCAAGATCTTACTCGTGTGTTGATTGAATGCTAAGAGTAGATCGTTGTTGAGTAAATTTATCAAAGATTGTTTAAAGGATAGTTTATTAGCATTTATGCGATATTTTATTTCTTAGAGGGATGAAAGTGATTCACTACATCCTAAGCCATTATACAGTATGTTACACTTGATGATAAATATTGCAATAACGAATACTGTAGATCTCATTCGCAAAGGTGTGATTAACGAAATTATTTTACTTTGACAAAGTAATTTAGAATTTTGAAAAGGAATTTAATACATATAATTATATGTTAAACTGGAATGTATTGAAAGTTTCATCCCGAGGAAATTTGCTTGCGTAACTTTTGGACATTTAGTTCGTATCACTAGTATCGATATTTACCTCAATAGTACACTAATTAGATTTTTTTGTAAATTATTAAAACTTTGTTAGGATTATCATGATAAAACTTAGTTTATGCGTAACAGAATTTTTGCAATGATTTTTTTTTGGCCAGAACGCAGGAAGTGGTTTCTTAGACAAAAATTCGGATTTTTTTTCCAAAAGCGCGATTTTCGCGTTACACCTGATCTAGAAATCTGGAAATCTACATCGATATTCTATAGAAATCTTATTGGTGCATCTTTTGCAATCATACTTGGAGTGACTACGTAAATATATACAGTAACGGTAACAGTTTTTATTAATAATAACTTGCGTAACCTATATAAATTAAAAAAATGATGCTAAATGTTATTATTAATATAAATTTATATGATCAACCTAATTAGTTTAAATTTATTGTGGGAAAGAAAGTGCTAATTACGATATGTTCTTATGAATTCTTAGTAATAGGATAACTACGTAGATACATGAATTCGTTACGTAAATAAATTAAGTATGTATACGTACTGAATTTAGAAGCATTTATGTTGTACATAACATTTTAATGACTCAGGAAAATCCCAGGTAATAATATTATGCGCAGATAAAATTTGTGTTATAATTAATAATGAAAAATTTCATTAAAATAAATTAGTACGTATCGGTATTGTCATACACTATCACTATTACAGTACGTATAAAAGATGAATGATGAAATTCAAACATATAATTTATTATATAAATTATTATATAATTTATTATATAAATGCGATTTATAGGGCGTTTCCGAATAGGTAGAGAGAGTAAATGTTTATTTATTGTAGAAAACGACAAACTTTTTTAGTGAATGATTTGGCATTAAACTGTGATATCTGATAATCTTTGGATTTGAATCTTTTGAAGTCTTATACGTAATTTTATCAGTTATAGTAAATAGTATATATATATATATATGTATATATATATATATATATATATACGTATGTAGATGTATATATATATATGTAGATGTAGATGTATATATATATACTGTATACGTATATATAAACATATTTATATTTAATTGATTTTTTTTAAGTTTAATACTTAACATTAATGGCTACATTGAATAACATGTAACAGCAAGCTTTATTATAGGTTATCGGACATTTATAAGATAAAATATGCAAAACTAGTTTAACGCAAGTTCCGATGAAACATATTTGATGATAGGGTGTTATGTTTACGGCAAATACTGAAATAAAATAAAATAAAATAAAATAAATACGTGCATCAAAAAAATTCAATATGGGGAATTCTTTTAAATCAATTAATATTGTATAATAACAAAACGTCAGCTTAATTTATACAATCTTGATTTGACATGCATAAATTATTTCAAATGATTTGATATTTATATACATGATGAACCGTCCATTTAAATTTTAAAAAAATAAAAATTTTTGTTACCTTTATTTACAGTAAATTATGTGTCTTTACACCTTCGGTTCTTAACCTGTATTGGCTTGCTGGGTTATAATGAACCATTCATTCTCTTGAGATTTATCGGCATGAAATTTTTATGCCTGCATGTGGTTATTATCTGCAAGTAAAGCTATAAAAAATAAACACAAATCAAGAGAAAACATCAGGTTACCTCATTCTTCAATTTAGGTTAAATCAAAATAATATTCTGGGATTTTGTGAGCGACGTGAATCGAGACACATCAGCAATTGGGGAACGCATGTTTTACAGCCACGTTTGTAAGTACATGCATACTAGTTACAAACAATTTATTCGGTATTTCGGCATATTTTTTTCGTAGTAAATCGTTATCTATTTTAAGTGAAAAAAAAATGTGCATTTATTTTCTGAAAAAAAAGTAAACTTTATATGGCATATTCATACTAGTGCATATCATACACATATATAATGCCTATAGTAGATAATGCCTATAGTAGATAATGTTTATGGTAGATAATGCTTATATGTATCAATATGGAACGCAATTAAATTGACATGAAATCTAAACACATTTGATAGTATTGATAGGCAATTATGAATATCACACGCGATCCAATATATTATATATAGTAATCGCGTTTTGTTTTTCTATACATATAATATTTCCTCGTTTATAATAACCTAATTAATGAAACACACGAATCAATACGCATGAAGAATATCTAACATTAATATTAATCAACATCAGATCAATCAAGTTACCAATGCCAAGCAATTAAATTCTTTGTAAATATAGTTTGCATGTATACCGTAAATAGAAGGATATGGTGATAGGATATGACGATAAGAACGCTAAAAGTCAGGTTATATAAAACTTGGTGAAACCTGTCAAGTTCTTATGCAATGCATCTTTATGATCCTTTATTACACGTGTTTATTAACTTATCATTAATAAGTTATATAACTATACTACGACTAGTAATGACAATGTGCGTTACTAATTTTATCATTTAATCATTTACAGTGATCAACCAAACTTTACTATTCTTTCCAAGTTAAAAGTTCAACATTATAGAACTCGTTCTCTTTTACCTATAATGTTTAATCTTGCCTATATTGTTTAATCTTGCGGATTATACATTTGACAAATCGGTATATGATATATTTTGATATGTCACACAGTTAGAGGCAAAAGTGATTGGTGGAACTAGAAAGTAGGTAATGTAAAAACCGGTTAGATGTTTAAGATTTATATGAATTTCAGTTAACATCCAATAATAGTACATGCACATGTGACAATTCGTGGAACCTAAATCCGTGAA